GATACAGTGAGAGAGGGAACACAAGCAGGGGGAGTGGGAGAGGGAGAAGCAGGCCTCCCGCTGAGCAGGGAGCCCAATGCGGGGCTCGATCCCGGAACCCTGGGATCATGACCTGAGCTGAAGGCAGATGCTTAACGACTGAGCCACCCAGGCGCCCCAATTCTTTTTTTTTTTTTTTTAAGAGAGGGGTGGGGGGTGGAGGTTGAGGGAGAGAAAGAATCTTAAGCAGGTTCCACACGCAGCATGGAGCCTGCCGTGGGGCTCGATCTCACTACCCTGAGATCACAACCTTAGCTGAAATCAAGAGTCAGATGCTTAACTGACTAAGCCACCCCAGGCGCCCCATCTTTTATTCTTAAAACCAGTTATTTTGTTCCAGTCAAATTTTCCTACATGTGGATGTAGACTTCTGCACAGCATCACGTTACCAGCAGATGTAATCCTGCTAAAAGCCATTAACATGAGTTGTAAAACATGTGCTTCACCCTGGCCCAACCCTTTCCTTGTATCCTGTACCCAGTGAGGCCGTCCCAATTCTTTTTTTTTTTTTTGAGAGAGTGATGCAGTTAAGTTACATTATGGTCAGAGAACATACTTTATTATTTCAATCCTTTTAAAAGTATTGAAGTTTGTTTTATGGCCTACTATATGGTCTGTTTTGGAGAATGTACTGTGTGCACTTGAGAGAAATGTATATGTTCTTAGGTGGAGTGTCATAGAGACGTATGTTAAGTCTCTTTGGATAAAGTGTTCAAGTCTTCCATTTCCTTGTTGATCTTCTCTGATTTTTCTTTTTTTTTTTAAAGATTTTATTTATTTGAGAGAGAGAGAATGAGAGACAGCACGAGAGGGAAGAGGGTCAGAGGGAGAAGCAGACTCCCTGCTGAGCAGGGAGCCCGATGTGGGACTCGATCCTGGGACTCCAGGATCATGACCTGAGCCAAAGGCCGTCGCCCAACCAACCGAGCCACCCAGGCGCCCGAGGCCTTCCCAATTCTTGACCTTGAGTACCCAGTAGTACAAAGCAGCTGCTTTCAAAACCTAACCCCAACTTCCTTTTCCTGAAAACAGTTCCGTATACTGGTTCTTTAATATGTCAGATGTACATGTGTGATGGTTTTTGCTCCTTCCCAATAAAGTCAACATGTATTTCATCATCACTTCTTTGCTTTCAGGTTGTTGGCATGGAGTGGAGGATGAGGATGAGCCTTCTGAAGAGAGCATTTCTATAGGAGTGTCACAGATTGGGACTCTCAAGGCAGATTCATCTTCCCAGAAGACCCAGCCCTTTGAACTGCATGGCCCAATCTTGAGAAACATTTTGTACTTGGCTGACCACCAGGAAACATATCTTGGGGAAGAACCATATACATGTAGGAAACAATTCTGTTTAACTGCCAATCTTCAACAGTACCAGGGGCAGCACACTAGAGAGATACCCTTCAGAAGTTATGTGGACAGAGCCTCATTTATAAAGAACTGTACAGTCCACGTGTCAGGGAAGCCCTTTACTTCGGCACGGAAGGACTTCTTAGCCAGCGTGGGATTTCTCCAACAACAGGTCACTCACACTGGGAAGAAGCTGAACAATGAGTGTGAGGCTGTCTTTCACAGTGGAAGAAGTCATCACAACTGTGGAGAATGCAAGAAAGCCTTCAGCTACACAGACACACTTGCTCAGGACCAGAGAGTTGTCACTAGAGAAGGAATTTATGAATGTGGCAAATGTGGAAAAGCCTGTACCCGAAGATGTAACCTCATTCAGCACCAGAAAGTCCACACTGGAGAAAGACCTTACGAATGCAGTGAATGTGGAAAATTCTTCACCTATTACTCCAGTTTCATTATACATCGGAGAGTTCACACTGGAGAAAGGCCCTATGAGTGCAATGAATGTGGGAAATCCTTTAGCCAAAGCTACAGCCTCAATAGCCATAGGAAAGTTCACACTGGAGAGAAGCCTTATGAGTGCAGGGAATGTGGAAAATCTTTCAGTCAAAGGTCCAACCTCATTCAACATCAGAGAGTTCACACTGGAGAAAGGCCTTATGAGTGCCCTGAATGTGGGAAGTCCTTTAGCCAAAACTTCAGTCTCATTTACCACAGGAGAGTTCACACAGGAGAAAGGCCTCATCAGTGCAGTGAATGTGGGAAATCCTTCAGCCGAAGCTCCAGCCTCATTCACCACAGGAGACTTCACACTGGAGAAAGGCCTTATGAGTGCAGTAAATGTGGGAAATCCTTTAAGCAAAGCTCCAGCTTCAGTTCACATCGGAAAGTCCACACAGGAGAAAGGCCTTATGAGTGTGGGGAATGTGGAAAATCCTTTAGCCATAGCTCCAACCTCAAGAACCACTGGAGAGTTCACACTGGAGAAAGGCCTATTGAGTGCAGTGAGTGTGGAAAGTCCTTTAGCTGCAAATCTAACCTCGTTAAACACCTGAGAGTTCACACTGGAGAAAGGCCTTATGAGTGTGGGGAATGTGGAAAATCCTTTAGCCAAAGCTCCAGCCTCATTCAACACCGGAGAGTTCACACTGGAAAGAGGCCTACTGAGTGCAGAGAATGTGGGAAATCCTTTATCTCCAAATCTGACCTCATTCAACACCAGAGACTTCATACTAGAGAAAGGCCTTAGATGTACAGGGCTGTGCAGTTTCCTTTTAGATAATTACACTGGAGGAGAGATGTTGTGAGGAAGCCATCTACCTAAATTTAAGCCCGTACATCTTAAAATCCATGGTGGGGAGATCTCCCTTTAGTTGAAGTATGTGTGAATCTATAACTGTCCAGGGATCTTGCCTGATTTATGTCACTGCCAGTTTCTGTGGAAGAGTTTTGTCACCTCTACCACTCAGCAGGTTCACACAGTGTGCATTAGTACATTAGTTACCACCACAATGTGCCCAGGGAAGCTGCCTCTTTCCCTCCCCTTCTGCTGGAGGAAATCATGATTATTCTTAGCCCTTATAGGGTCTTCATTCTCTTCTCGTGTAGAAGTTAGGGCATGGCCCAGTGGACCCAATCTGTGTTCTGCTGGTAACTTGCCAAGAAGGACCGCATTTTCAAGGATGTGTTAGTTTTGTGTGACACTCCTCTTGGATTTTCCTATCCTCCAAGTCACCAACCTGGGATCTCCCTGCCTCATATTGCTTTGGATTTTACAGTAATAAAGACATTATTGTTGGGGTTCTATTCACTGTGTGAGGTGATTTGAAAATGGCTGTGCTCTGCCAGCATTAAGGAGTGAACAGCTTTGTTGGGGTTCCCAATGCTTTGTGTGCCTGAGAGATGACAGTTTGATGAAAGAAAATAGCTCTCTTTCCAGCTTTGGCCTAATATACACTGTTGCCTGAGGTCTCCTAGGAAAGACTGCAGGGCCTTGTCCTAATTTATGGACTGGGTATCGGGATTTTTTTGTGGGCTCAGAGAACACTCTGAAGAGTCAGGAAGTTGTGACAACCTCCAGTGCTTCTGAGAACTACATGAATTGTTTTTCTTTTTCACAGTGGATGTCATATAATGCTCAGTAGTGTTGAGGGGAATCTCTACCCCACGTCCTGCAAAGGAGCCATGTGCCCTGATACCCAGAATTCTCTAGGCTAGTGTCATGGTGAGAACACAGGGCCCTGGGGGAACTATAATCGGTACAATAACACTGCAGTGGAGAAGACTGCAGCAAAGTAGATGGCATGTGCCCCTTTTAGCTTTGCATCAACAAATACTCCAATGACTGTGACTGTGCAGGATCAGTGTGCCCAGAAACTCTCAGGCCCTCCAGGTATGTGCATCTTTTGTGGCTGAGATCTTTGTCAAAGAAAATAAGCTGTTGGTTTTGTGGATTCCCATAGCCTTTCTGGTAGAGTTCACCTAAAGGCCAATTCTACACAGATAGGAAAACAAGCATACAGAGAAAGGAGATCCCTTAGTCCCTCAGTGTGGCTCTGTGACCTAGCCAAAATTCCTGTTCACTGAGTGGAATGGATTTACTTGCTCAGAAATATTCGCTACCACTAAGGCAAGGCTGCTCCTCCAAGGTCATCAGGAAAGAGACAGAGTCAATACAGGGCTGCCAAACCTGATTTTATGAAAAGAGTGGGAGACCTAGGGTTTTGTATTTTTTGTTTTTTTGGAACTATTTCATAGAACTTTATTCAGGTATAGTTGACATGCAATATACTGCATCTATTTGAGGTGTACGGTTTAAGTTTTGACATACATATAAACCCACAAAACTTCATCACAATCATGATTATGAACATGTCCATCACCCCTAATTTGCCTCATGTCATTTTATAATCTGTCTTTCCTGTCCCCAGGCAACCTTTGATTTACCTTCATTTATAATAAATTAGTTTGTATTTTCTAGAATTCTATATGGTCTGAGTCATAAAGTGTTTATTCTTTGGTTTCATTCATGATTTATAATTGAGAATCTTCAATGATGCTTTTATAAATATTTCACTCTACTGCTGCATAGTATCTTTTCTATGGATATACCACTTGTTTATCCATTCATCTGTTAGGGGCCCTTGGTACCTCGTTTTGTCGATTGCAAATAAAGCTGCTAGAACATTTATGTATAATTTAATATGTATATATATAGTTTTCATTTCTCTTGTGTTAGTAATTCAAAGTAAAATGCTTGAGTCATAAGATAGGTGAATGTTTAGCTCATTAAGAAACTGCTCAAACTGATCTCAAATGATTTTTTGCTTTTGCATACTCACCAGGAGTGCATGAGCGTTCCAGTTCTTTAACATCCTTGCCAGTCCATGGCATCAGTCTTTTGGTTCAGTCTTTGGAATTTACCCTTTTAACAAGCAAGCAGTAATTTTAATCACATTTCCATAAGGATTTATGATGTTGAACATTTTTTTCTTGCGTTTGTCATCTGTATATCTTCTTGATAAAATGTCTATTCATATCTTTTGCCTATTTTTTAAATGAATTGTGGCCATTTCCTTTTTTATTAACAAAGAAACAGCTTATTTTTGTTCCTCAGGTGTTTTTGTGCTATGTACAAGGTAAGACTACATACACCACACACTTTTAAGTTTAATCTGCATTATTTACATATTTTCCATTATGTTCTTAAGTCTAGACTTTCTGTAATACATGTAAGTCCTGGTTTGTAGTGTCTTTTAAGTTCTCTGGTGTAAATATTCCCACTATGGCCAATTTCAAACTGTCAATGTGATGTCACTGAGCTCAGTTGGGAAGAGTTGCCACAGGCACAGCATTCTATCTCCACCCTTCTGATCCAGGAGCTGCAAATAACCTATAGAACATAGAGGATAATAAAACATACTAAAATGATTAAGACATAGCAAGTTGAGAAGATTTATTTAAGACTTATAATTAACAACTATAAACTGCACATAGTTAAGATATACATTTTTTTATTAATCACCATACATTACATCATTAGTTTTCGATGTAGTGTTCCATGATTCATTGCTTTTGTATAACACCCAGTGCTCCATGCAGAACGTGCCCTCTTTAATACCCATCACCAGGCTAACCCATCCCCCCACCCCCCTCCCCTCTAGAACCCTCAGTTT